GCGGGAATCCTAGGTGCTGCAGTTCCTTTTCTTTTGCTTTTTTGGCCGTTTGCACATCCAGCTCACACCCTGATCACTTTGCCGTCGCCTTCACAAGTGCACAGCCCCCGGGAGTCAGTCGCATGGACAACGATTGAAAGGGTATATTGAGGATCGCAACACCGCGGATTCATGGCATGACTCGTTTTGAGCTGTGCTAGGCGTTGACCTAGAGCTCAATGACCGGCACTGGTGCTGGCGAGTCTGCTGCTTCGTCGCCGAAGATGTCGCGTCTGAGCTCGGCAAGTTCGCCATCGTCGAGCTTGCGGAACAGGATACCGTTTGCCTCGTCCGTACGAATCGGCCGACTTGTGGATGAAGCCATGCCATCAGCAGGGCGCGCCGGGTTGGCGCGATTCAGCCCAATGCTTGGATTCGGAAACCCGCTGCCGCCGCTCACGTCGTACAGACTCGACGGAGCCGTCGATAGCGCGACCGACTGCAGCGCGAGCTTGTCGAACAGCGTCCGATGAGTGCGCAGCATCCTGATCAAGCAGGCAACGTCATGGCTTAGCACTTTGCAATCGTCAAGGGGTCGGCAGGGCGACAACATACCTATAGACTTCTGGGTTTGCGACTTGTCCCTCACGCAGGGAGTCGAGGTTGTCTTCCTGGAAAGCGTCCTTCACGAACTGTAGGATGTGGAAGACAAAGTCCTGCCGAGGACGCCATGCTGTCGGGAATCGAGAGCTGAGCAGCAGTCGCCCAGTATCGGGATCGACGAGCGGATGAAGCAACGTTGGCGGAAAGAAGACCTGCGGTGTTGCCGATGGGTATGTTGGGGGGAAGACGATGTCAAAGCGGAAGATGCCTCCGCTGAATGGGCCGTTTTGAACAAAGATCACGCCGTGCCACACTGTGAGCGCAGACAATGATCCCGCGGTACTTCGTCAGCTCCAGTTCAGAGCACTGCCCGGCAGCGAAGGTTGCTTGACTTACAATGAGTGTCATCGTCGTCAAGCTGGACGTAGACGCCTTTGGGGCAGTTCGAAGGGAGACACAACTGTGCGTATTGGAACGAAATGTCGCGCTGCGCGAACTCAAGTCGCACTTGCTGGCTTGACGGCATGCCGACACTCGTCGTAACTTTCTATACTGGCTCTGAGCGGTAAAGGGGCTTGTCGGATGTGCCGGTGCTATCGTTTCACCGATTGCGCAGCGTAGGAGTCGAGGGACGCTTTTGAAAGCTCAGACCGTCGGGACCGGCCGAAGAGAAAGGAACGTGTGGGTGAGCGAGGCTGGAGGGTCAGAGTGCGGATCTCCTCGACGTGCATGTGTTGGTCTGGGTCGGGACGCCTGATCCAACCGGACCCTGTTTGGCACGCCGTTCAGCAGCTCCACTTCCTTGCAACGGCTGCTCTGGAATTTTCAGGTGGACCCGCGTCGTGCAGGCAGGGCACGGGCCTGAAGCGAGCTCGCAGTTCTTCTTGAGGCCAGCCTCTCTTCGGACTCTTGCTGTCTCTCCCACATCACCCTTACCGGCCCGAGCTGTAGCGATCGCTCGTATCTGGCACCTGAAGACCTCGAGGAAGGGCCCTCGGAGCCGGCTGTGGATATGGCGGGGCCAACGTCGACGAGCGCTGGTGCACAGCCCGATGTGGCTGATGCCTCGACCACAGCGAGCCACATCCAGTCGGCCGGATCGCTTCGCATCAGGAAGCTGAGCAAGGTCTCGCCGGCTCGCTTTCTTCTTCTGAGCCTACTTTTCCACGTCGTCTACATCTCTTCCATCTTCGACATCTACTTCACCTCACCCGTCGTTCATCCGGAACCGCGTTTCAGCGTCCGGGACACCCTGGCGCCAGGGCATGTGCGCGAGTCTCTTGAGGCACCGGCGAAGCGGCTCGTACTCATGGTCGGCGATGGACTCAGAGCTGACACGCTATTCAAGCAACATTCGTCCGAGCTCTTGCCCCCATGGTCCGCCGCCAAAGAGGCGGATTACGACCTAGATGACACGTCCGGCTTGTGGGCATCGTTCGCCCAGGATCCCTTCAGTGCACCCTACCCGTACCAGCTCGCGCTGCAAGAGAACAGGTCCATCCCGTGTGCGCATGATCAGAGCTGCGGGCATCCAGATCAAGCCTTTGCGGCTCCTTTTCTGCGCAGCGTCTCTCGAGACCGTGGCGCCTGGGGGATCAGTCATACGCGAGTCCCTACCGAGAGCCGTCCTGGACACGTTGCGATGATCGCAGGAATGTACGAGGACGTCAGTGCGGTGACCAAGGGCTGGAAGCTCAACCCGATTGCATTCGACTCGATCCTGAACCAGTCGACACATTCCTTCGCCTTTGGCTCGCCGGACATTGTGCCCATGTTCGCCGTCGGTGCCGCAGCCGATCGTGTCGACATGTGGACCTACAACGAGGAGGACGAAGACTTCACCAAGGATGCTACGCACCTCGATCTTTGGGTGCTCGACCACTTCAAGAAGCTTCTCAACGACGGGAAGAACAATCCTGAGCTTCGCCGCAAGCTGGAACACCCAGGTACGGTGTTCTTTCTCCATCTTCTCGGCCTCGATACGACCGGCCACTTCTACCGACCCATCTCGCCTGAATACGTCGGCAACACCATCGTGGTCGATGCCATCGCACGTGAGGTCGAGAAGCTCATCGACGATTTCTTCGGGAATGACGGTCGTACCGCTTACATCTTTACGGCCGATCATGGCATGAGCCTCAAGGGCAATCATGGCGACGGCGATCCGGACAACACGCGCACGCCCTTTGTCGCATGGGGCGCCGGTGTTCGCCGACCTCAGGTCGCCACCGCACAGCAGATTCGGCAGGCCAAAGCAGAGCAGGAGCGCGATCCGTACTTTTCCAATTGGCATCTTGAAGACATTTCGCGTGTAGATCTCGCCCAGGCGGACATAACTCCGCTCATGGCGACGCTGCTCGGGGTGCCTGTTCCGGCCAACTCGGAAGGTCGTCTGCGTCTTGACCTGCTGAACCTCTCTGCCGAGCACAAGGCGCGCGCTCTTCTCGCCAATGCGCAACAAGTGCTCGAAACCTACCGCGTGAAGCATGCATCGCGCGCGCGCCGCATGGTTCGTTATGTGCCCTTTGCTCCGCTGGCTCTTGTACAAGACGAGACGCTGCCCGGCGAGGAGAAGATCGATCACATCCTCATCAGCATCGAGGAGGGCGACTTCCATGAAGCAATGCTGCTCTCGAATGCGCTCATCGACGAGGCTATCGAGGGCGCACGCTACCTGCAGACCTATGATTGGCTGCTTCTGTGCTCGGTCGTCACCATCGGCTACCTGGGCTCTATTGTCTATTCTTTTGCCTTCTTGCTGCGCAACTACATCCTCTCCGACCAGGAAATTGCTGCAACCGCCCCGGTGCCAAAGCCAGGAGGAAAGTCCCATACCCCTCTCCTCAAAATCCTGGTTGCACCCGTCTCTGGGGCCGTGTTCGCTCTTTTCGCAGCGCAAGAGATGCCGTTTTCGTACTATCTCTACGCTGCGCTGGCTTTTCTGTTCTGGGGACGAGTGCTGGATGACCTTCCGCTCTTTGCCGCTGCATATCGATGCATCTCGGGCTCTCAGACTGGCTTTTCGATCGTTGCGATCTTGCTCAAGGTTCTAGCATCGCTGGCGATGCTTGAGCTTATGGCCGTGGGATACCTGCGTCGCGAAACGTGGTTCGTCGGCTTTATCCTGATTGGCTTCGCCTGGCCGGCTCTCGGGATGAATGCGGATTTCAAGTCGGAGAACGAGGGTCTACTGATCGTCTGGGGCTTCTCCTGCCTCCTGAATGGCCTGTTCACCATTGGGAATGTCAACAAGGAAGAAAGCATCACGCTGCTGATGCTCAGCGCTGCAGTCTTCCTGACGGCAGGCTCGGTCATCATCTCGCGGCCGAAGCTGTTCTTTCCCGGAGCATGCACATCTGGAGAAAAGGAGAGCAGCGGAAGTGATGGAGAGCGCGCAACTTCGGACAAGGCCCGAGAAGCGGATGCATTGCATCTTGGCCACACCCTGCAAACGCTCAAGGTGCAGCTGGTCGTGCTCGTCGTTACTGCTATCACCACGGCCGTCTCGGCACGGTCTCTCCGTCTGAAGCAGGGGCTTCCGCTCGTTACGCAAAGCTTGGCATGGATCTGCCTTGCGACCTGTCTCGTCTTTCCCTTCGCTTACGGGTTCCGCAGTCCTGTCGCGATCCAGGCGGGCAGCGAGGACGCAGCGATCTCTCTGGTGAGGCAGCCCAGCAGTCAGCGTCTGGCAGTCGTCGTGTTCGCCTTTGCTCCGGTGTTTGTGCTGCTATCACTGCGAGACGAAGTCTTGTTTTTTGGCAGTTTCATCACGACGCTGCTCGTCTGGGCGAAGCTCGAGGGCGCTCTGCGCGAAACTCGCCGCGATCCGACCATGCCAGCAGAGCAGTCCGACAAGCGCTACCTGCAGATTTCGGAGCTGCGCGTCAGTCTCTTCTACCTCTTCTTCCTACACATCGGCTTCTTCGGCACGGGCAACGTGGCCTCGATCTCGTCTTTTTACCTTTCGCCCGTGTATCGGCTGGTGCCGGTGTTCAATCCGTTCCTCATGGCGACACTGCTGCTGCTCAAGATCCTCGTTCCCTTCGTCATTCTCAACGCTATCTTTTCGCTGCTGGCCACCACACCGAGCATTACCGTGTCACCGCCTGGCTCAAAAGCTCCCGACCGCGGGTTAAAGCTCCTCGGCGACACGGCGCCCGGAGGACTGGGACTCGATTCGGGTCTGAGCCTTGTCTTTGGTGCGGGTATTGCTGCCGATGTGCTAGCGCTCAACTTCCTCTTTGCGGTCAAGAGCGAAGGAAGCTGGCTCGAGATCGGCCAGACCATCACCCACTTTGTCATGGCCAACCTGCTGCAGATCTTCATGCTTGCACTCGCTGCTGCGAGTTCAGCCATCCTTGGGTGAGTGGTCGAGCGCCTACACCTTCGACCACCAGATGAACTCGGTTGGAATAGGACAATCTTCTCTTGGCCCGTGCCCTGAAGCAACGGAAGGAGAGCGTCGTATGCCTGAAGATATGCTGAGTGAGAAAAGGCCAGCTCGGAAATCGGAGAGTGATGTGTTGGTTTCCAGACAAGGCGCGCAACGCGTCCGCGTAGAGGTGTCGGAGACTGTCGTGATGCGGAGGCGGAGGCGGCTGAGGCGAAGGAAATGCATACATGCAGCGCAGCGCTTTCCAACTTTTGGACTCGGAAAAGAAAGCATTCCGGCTTCCTCGGCTTGCGTCCATCACAACCTAATCACCTTTCCATCTTCTTCCAAGTCCACAACCAACACAGCCGTCCCTTCGCGTCTTCCAACAGCATCGCTCTCCTCGAGCTTACTGCGTGCGCCTTCCCTAGGATCAGTCAAATCAACGGGACGCTCGTAACCTTTCTTGCGCTCTCGCGGCACGACATGCGAAATCCAGACTTCCGCAGCAACTTGTGTCATCTCCCTAATCGGCCGCTCTCCTCGCTGACCGGATCGACGCTTTCATTCGATCCTTGCCACCTCGCTCGAGTGGCATGCAGCTCCGACGCTTGACGCTCGAACGACAAGGTCCCCAGGGCCGTGCAGCCGCCACGCGTTCCTAATTTCCTCCGCTTGCCAATTGATGGTCTGACCAACAATGCCCACCCCCTAGGCCAGCGTCATTACCTGCATCCACCAGCGACCCGTCTCAGTGCTCTGCCCAACATCTCCCAGCATGCCTCCGGAGCCCATTGCCCTCGATAGCTCGGATGAGGACGAAAGGAGGTATCCCCTCCGCTCGGATCGCCGCAAACCAAAGCGCGAATACGAGTCCGACAGCGAAGTAGATGAACTCGAATCCGACAAAGACGATGATCCGCAACCTTGTGCTGCGCCGCCTACGCGCAAATCGCCGGTGCGATCGGCCAAGCCCAAGTCGGCCAGAAAGCTGAAAAAGGAGCGGAACCAAGCCAAGAAGAAAAAGAAGAAGCTGCAACGCGAAGCTCGCGAAGCTCGCGAAGCTCGCGAAGCTCGACAAGAGAACAGCGCTGTAGCTGCAGAGTCTGCTCACTGCCCTACGCCACGACCCGGCGACGGCGACGACATCGATGAGGACGATGACGAACACTTACATGGCCTGATCGTTCCCTCCAAGGACGCTCGTCGCAAATCGCCTGTGGAGCGCGTCACCGAAGCGACGAGCGAGGACGAAGTCGAGCTGATCGCTTCGGAACCGCCCCGGCCCGAAAGCGCTTCGGTCCCACCAGAGCGTTCGTCCGCTCCCATCACAGCCGATGAAGACACAGACAAGCGTCCGCCCAACAGCGCCGCCTCGGCCCCTCCCACACTTGCAGTCCCGCGTGCTGATTCTGCGCCGGCTCCCGGAGACGAGTCCAATCCCGTCGCGATCGACACGTCCTCCCCACCCATGGCTGCTGACGACGAGGCCGTCGATGATGTTCCCGATGACGCGTCCGTCTCGGATATCAGCTCTGTGACCTACTCTGACTCGGAAGAGTACGTCGAGGGCGAAGATTTCTACACGAGCTCCGAGGGATCTCTGCATGGCTCGGACAGCGAGGAGGGGCTCGGCTCGTGGACCAAGCGCGATCAGGACAAGTGGCAAGGCTCAACTGCTCACCTCGACGCGGCCTATGACGACGTCTACGAAGTGCGTGCGGTCCTTCGACACCGCCGAAACCCGCGTCGCGGCTTCATGCAGTATCGCACCGTGTGGGCAGGCTACCCGATCTACTCGACAACTTGGGAGCCGGAGTCGCATTTCAACAGCAGGCGAACCCTCGACGAATATTGGCAGCGACAAGGCGGGCGTCCAGCTGACGCTCCGTACGACCCCGCGAATCACTCCACGCATGACTCGGATACCGACCGTGCCGTGATGCGTCGACCGCGTCGCCGTGCTCACGAGGCGCTCAAGAAGAAGCGCCGTGAAATCAGGCGTGACAAGGTCGACCTTCGCAAATACATGGCCTCGCTCGACCACGAACGCGCCGAGAAGAAGGCAAAGGCGGAGCGCAAGTTCGAGTTGTGGCGCCGCGAAAAGCGCGTCGAGCTCGAGACCGAGCGGACTCGCGAGAAGGGCACCTCGCGCAGTCACCAGAAGAGGTTGGAGAAGCTCAACAAGAAGCGTTGGAAGCGCGCCGGCGGCGCCGATGGCGCAGGTGCTGCGGCTTCAGCCCGCTTCAGCGCAACCCATGCAAACCGCATCATGGCGGACATTTCGATGAAGGCGCGCGCCGGCCCAAGCGTTTCGGCGCGAACTCGAGTCTCCCAGCTGGACGACAGCATCGCCGAGAATGACGACAATCAGCTAGTCTTCCGAAAGTCGGCCCCGGGCTCTGGTCCAAACTATCCTGGGCTTGCAGCTTCCATGTCCGGCTCCAATCGACCCAGGCCGGGTTCTACATCCGCGCGCCCTATTGCAGGGCCTTCCTCTGTCTCCAGGCCTGCCGCCGCCTCGGGTTCGGCGTCTGGCTCAAATAGTCAGGCACCGCCTCCTCGTCCCCCTCCCGGCAGCTACAAGGGCCAGCACCATCGCGGCCCCAGGGTGCAGATCAAGGAGGACATGCACAGCTTCCTCAACAAGCTCCACAGCGATGTCGCGCGGAGTCGTGCAGCACAGGATGGCAATTCTCAGGCCGTCCCAGCCCCGACCGACTCGGACGGTCGTCCAATCACGATGAAGCGCAGGCCGTCCGAGGCCAAACGCAGCAACCTACTCGTCCTGCAGCCGGTCAAGGACTTCCAGGGCGGCAGCAGGCCTGCAGCGCCGGCCTCCGTCGCGCACGTTTCACACTCGACGTCTTCGGAGGCTGGAGATGACGGAGACAAGGAGCCATTCGACATTCCCGAGATGAGCGCCGTGCGTGGTCAGTTCAATCCGCACCAGCCGGCTCCAGACTCGGATGAGGAGCGCAAGCGGGCTGCCGTACCTAAGAGGGACAGCCTCGCGCCACCTGTGCCTCAGCAGAAGGGAAAGCAGACCGAGGATCCTCGACGCCGTCTCAAGGCTCCCTCCGCTCCGAAGCGTGACCAGCACGCGTCTTGGTCGCCGCCAGGGGACGATGCAGGCTGGAACCCTTCCGGATGGGACATGGACCCCGGCCCGGCCTTCTCGCCGCGCGCGTTGACGCCTCGATCGCCGCTCGAAGGCGAATTCCACCATCATGGTCACGGCGCGCCGCGGGCTCCCGCGCCTCAGTCCGTGTTGGCACACTGCTGGTTCCAGATCGTGACAGACGGAACGTTTGGGCTGGAAGGAACGCTGTGCTCGCACGAGCCATTTCCGAGCGACCGAGCCCAGGCTCTCGGCCTCGCGGATCGCGTGACGATCCAGTTCGATCGAGTCATGCCGTTTGCGTGTATTCGCGAGGTTCTGGCCGGGCCCGATATCGCCTGGCACGAAGCCATGGTCCTAGGCGCGCAGGGACCTGGCGCCATCCGAGATCGCGCACATCTTGATCAGCTTTCTGAAAGGCTCAAGGTTACCGACATGGCTCTGCTGTCTGCTGTCCCATCTCCTCGCGCGTCCGTGAACGCGGAAGGCTCTGCACAGCAACAGGAGTATCTCGTCGCGTTTTCGAGCAAATACAGCATGGACCCGGTGGCCGGCGTGCCGCACGCGCTGCAGAACATCAGTGGTCACTCTGCGACCCTCTGTGTGATGCCTCTGCGGCTCAGTCTGGTTTCGGCCCCATCGCAGCTGCTCGCGTTCCGAAGGCAGCCGCCGTTAGACTCGACCATCGCCAGCATCTTTGACACTGCGGTTGGCAAGCGGTCCATCGAGGACATGAAGATCGGACGCAGCGAGGTCCGCAAGGTGAAGAGGGCCGCTCAGCGATACGGGATCGTGCCAGCGCTGTACGAGGGCATCCGCAGCCGCTTCAACGTCTTGTTTCTGGGCCACAACCCGCCCGCGTACGAGAAACGCATGTTCTACTACTTGATCCGCATCTTCGAGGGCGGCGTTCGTCTGAAGGTGGACGAGGAGAAGGACGCCAAGCTGTACAAGGATCCTAAGATCGGCGTCAACGTGTTCGTGCGCAATGCCGCGCTGAAGGAGATTCTAAGCACGGATCAGGAACAGGAACTCGTGCTCGCGGCGTATCTGCGACGCTTCAAGCGAGTCCAGCGCTGCCAGTTCTGGACCTTTGGCTTCTCGCCCGAGGATCCGGATGAGCGCATCCGCGAACTCTTCCCGGGCCACAGTGGACTGGTGTCGTTTTCGATGTCTGCGATCCTCGCGGACCTTGTGCGCTCGTGTACGGAGGAGAAGCGTTCGCAAGACAGCGAGGAGGGCCAGCTGACGCAGCAGACGGAGAAGGGATTGCAAGAGTCGATCTTGTGCAACACGCAAGACCATCTGCCGAGCCAATGGCGAGTGCGATTGCATCCGTGGATCAGGCCTTGCTTCAGACTGCTCGCGGACCATCTCGAGCCGGTGTGCCGTGCGCTCAATCTCGTGGGCGAAGACGACGAGTTCCCGATCGAGCTGTTCCTCGAGCTGGACACAAAGCTCGAGGCGGTGTACACGGCGGCGTGGGTGGAGGAATGGTCGAGCGACGCGATCCACGGCCTGCCGTTCGAGGAGCCCTCGGAGCTGCCAGACGAGCCGGAGGCCTTGATCAAGCAGATCGACGAGGAAGTGTTCGCAACGCTGCGCGACAGCCAGCTTGCCAGCATCCGTGACACGCGCTTCCACGTCATGGTATCGGGCTCACAGGCGGCGGACGAGCGGGACGAGACAGAGTTGGCCGGGGTCGAGGTCGTCAGCCTTGCCGATTTCGGCAAGAACGCGTGTTCCAAGCTCGCTGCCTTCCCCGGCAATTGAGGCCTTGTAATGTATCTCTTGTACTCTAACGCATTCGACATGATCATCGTCATTTGCGTACTCCATCGTGTGAACCTCTTGAACGGAATTCATATTCATTGTAGACTGTGCGGAGGCGCTCAGGTGAGCATCAGCGGAGAGGCGGGCGAAGTGGTGGGGACGCGCACTTCGGAACCCTTTGAGGTCTCGGCTGAGCGGGAGGACCCTGAAAATGTGCGCGAGTGGCGCACAGACGTATCTTTTCGACCACCTGTCACTACGCTCATCCTAGCTCCACCCGCTCTTCGCTTCCGCCCACCACCATCGTGGCCACCTCAACTCAGGCCCGCAAAAGCAGCAGAAGCGCAAAGGCGTAGTCAAACTCAATCTCATTCGACCAGTGCTACATCAGCGAGGGACAGCGCCCGACGTCGGCTTGGTGCCACATAGCGTCTTCCTCTGCAGTGGGTGGGTCGAGCCAACGTCGAAATCGCTATCAAGGTGGTATCTTCGCCCTCGGACGGCACCCTTTGATGCTGAGGGCTGATCAGCTCGACAATGGACCGTGACTTTTACTCGTTCGTCCGCTTGTCGGATTTGAACTTGAACGTCACCTTCCGCATCTCGTCTCTGCAAGGCAAGCTCGACCGCATCTCCCGCACCCAGCTTCTCAGGCAGCCCGAAGCGCGTCAATGGGGCGCTCAGCAGAGCGACTACCCTGATCTGCTGGTAGAGTGCTGTCTCTTTGCGGACAACAAGCCTCTCAGCGTCCTCGTCAAGACCGCCTACCGCCCGTTCCGCAATAACCACCAGTGGAACGAATGGATCACGCTTCCCTACAAACTTTGCGACCTTCCTCTCGGCGCTCAGCTTGCCTTTACAATCTATGACGTCGCTTCGAGCAGGTCCGCACGCGTGATAGGAGGAACGACCTTTCCGCTCTTCAGCAAGAAGGGCACACTCAAGTCGGCACAGCATCGACTGTTCGTCTGGAAGGGCGCGAGGGCGGATGGAAGCGTCGAAACGGCGACACCGAGCAAGGTCGGCGAGATGAAGGACGAGATGGGAAGGCTCGAGAAGGTCATCAAGCGTCACGAGCGAGGAGATCTCCCGAGGGTGGACTGGCTGGACAAGCTGGCGTATCGCCAGGTCGAGAAAGTGTACCAGGCCGAAAGCCAGTCGAGCGACCGGCTGTTCTTGTACATTGACCTGCCGAGATTCGAGCTGCCTGTCGTATTCTGCGAGGCCGAGTCCATGTTGCCCTCAGCTACCGCATCAAACGGTCTGGCTCCTCTGGCGGGTACGTCGATGGGCTCGAATGCGGGGCCATCCGGCCTTTCCGTGGCTGGGGGCGGCCATGACGTGGGAAGTGCTGCCTCTCAAGCCGGATCCCCCAGCGCCGGAACAGCGGCATCCGGCAACCCGACGACGGCCGCAGCTGCCGCAGCAGCTGCAGCAGCGGCGCTTTCCACAGCGGATCCCAACAGGATCACCTCGTCGCTCTTCACGATCTTTGACCCAGAGATCTCGCGATCCAATCCAGTGGAAGCAAAACACCGCCGTCTGGTGCGTTCGCATCGATCGGGCCCGCTGGACCGCGAGCTCAAGCCTTCCGCAGAGGTGCGAGACGAGCTCAACGAGATCCTGTCGTATCCGCCGACACGCGTACTCACTCCCTCGGAGATGGATCGGGTTTGGTCGTTCCGGTTCTACCTCACGCGAGATCCCAAGGGTCTCACCAAGTTCCTCAAGTCTGTCGTATGGATGGACCAAGGCGAAGCCAAGCAAGCCACCGAGATCCTTCTGCCGATGTGGACCGAGCCCGGCCTGGACGACGCGCTCGAGCTGCTCGGACCCACTTTTCAGGACGCACGAGTGCGCTCGTATGCCGTGCGCCAGCTCGAGCGTGCTGAAGATGAAGAGCTCATTCTGTACCTTTTGCAGCTGGTGCAGGCGCTCAAGTTTGAAAAGCCCCTCGCGCGTACTACCGGTGCGCTGGCTGGTTCTGCGACTGGCGACTTTGACGGCGACACCCGGCGCGGCACGAGTGCAAGGCAGACTGTGGGCTCATCGTCGAACTCGCTCAGCGACGATGCAGCTGGACAAGACGCAAGCGGGCTGGCGGATTTTCTCATCCGGCGCGGCCTGTCCAACCCTGCACTGGGCAACAACCTGTACTGGTACCTCGAGGTCGAATGCGAAGACCCCAAGACCGGCTCGCTGTTCAAGACGGTCAAGCAGCACTACCTGGATCGCCTTGGGCAACTGCCCACGGGAGCAGCGCGCCGGGAAACGCTGACCCGGCAGGCGACTCTGCTGGCGACGCTTTCCAGACGGGCCAAGGAGCTCCGGTCGAACCGCGACGCGCGGCCAAAGAAGATCGAGAAGCTGCGTGCGCTCATCGCGGATCCGAAGAATGGGCTGAACCGCTTCGAGCCGCCACTGATGCTGCCACTGGACGCCTCGGTGTCGGTCAGCGGCATTGTCGCCGAGAAGAGCACGATCTTCAAGAGCAATCTCTTCCCGCTCCGGCTCGAGTTCACCACCGTCAGTCAAACCAGCACCACCTCCAACTCGGTGGGTCCAGAAGAGCGCAGCAGCGAACTTCCGGACAGCATCACTGCCAGTCTGATCGAGGACGACATCGAAGATGATGGGCTGGCCAAGGGTCGGGCTGGAGACGTGGGGCAGTACACGCTCATCTTTAAGAACGGCGATGATTTGCGGCAGGATCAGTTGGTCATCCAGCTGTTTTCGCTCATGGATCGGCTGCTGCGCAACGAGAATCTGGATCTCAAGATGACTCCGTACCGTGTCCTGGCGACAGGCAGCGTCGACGGGATGGTGCAGTTCGTCGACTCGCTCTCGATCGCCGCCATCCTATCGGCACATCAAGGGTCGCTGCTCAACTTTCTCCGTGCGCACCATCCGCAGCCCACGTCGCTGTCGACCTTTGGTGTAGACGCCGGTGTCTTTGAGACGTTTATCCGCTCGTGCGCGGGATACTGCGTTGTCACCTATCTGCTTGGCGTGGGCGATCGGCATCTGGACAACCTGCTCCTCGCGTCGGACGGTCACTTTTTCCACGTCGACTTTGGCTACATTCTCGGCCGCGATCCGAAGCCGTTCCCGCCGCCGGTCAAGGTGTGCAAGGAGATGGTGGATGCGATGGGCGGAACGCAGAGTCCGCACTATGCACGCTTCAAGGCATTCTGTTACACGGCGTTTACGAATCTGCGCAAGAACGCCAACCTGATTTTGAACCTGGTGGCGCTCATGGTGGATGCCAACATCCCGGATATCAGGCTGGAGCCGGATAAGGCGGTGCTCAAGGTGCAGGACAAGTTCCTGCTGCACCTGAGCGAGGACGATGCGATCAAGGAGTTCGAGAGCCTGCTCAACGAGACCAGCTACCTCAGCACCGTCTTTGACAGGCTGCATGACATGGCTCAATACTTCCGGCAGTAGATTCGGTCCGCGGTGCGAAGAGGCAGTGGCACTCGCAATGCAACGTGCACAAAATGCGATGATTGTGGATGGTGGTGGTACAATGTGAAGAGGCGTGAGGGGGGAGTTGGACTAGGGCGCGCGTTGGGGATGCCGCATTGAAGCGGGTTCTCGGGGCGGCCGAGATGCTGAGAACCGCTCTTGTGCTCGCGATGGATGTATTGGTGGCTGCGGAGTCGGCTGTGTTGGTGGCGGTTGGTTTGCCCATGACAGCTTGAGGTCTTCTTGTATCGCCTCGACATCGTCATCGTTAAAGTCGCTTGTCTCTTCCCACATGTGGCTGAAGTCGAGATCCTGGGTAGTCCAGACCCTATCACCATCCACATCGTCCCGCTCCGCTCTGGGACTCGCCGTCTGTGTTCGGGTGAGATAGGTTGGATCCAGCTGTTCTGGTCGCGTCCCAAACAGACTCTGACTCGTGTACGCCGTTGCTGGCAAGATCCATGCCCTTTCGCGAAGCCGCTTGTGTCTCTCGCGGTCCTCCTCGATGCGTCTCTGCATGTCTCCCGCCTCGACCACCGTCTTGCGCCTCTTTTCCGGCGACATGGCATACAGCGCCGCGCGTCTCACCTCCAACATCTTCTCAACATCCTCCAATAGCCCCCTCTCGAGCACAAATCTGCTTTTCCACGACGAGATCATCTTGGTCGCTGCAGGAAGATTGAGTAGCGCATTCCAGCGGTCTTCCGGAACGGCGAGGTCGAAGATGAGGTAGAGATCGCGTTCAAGGTGCGGAGTATACACCGAGCGCACTGTTGCAGAGAGCGTTTCGTCGGTGAAGATGGCATCGATGAGGAAGAGCAGGTTGATGCGGCGGTTGATGCTGGCCGACTTGAGCTCGTCGGTGATGCATTCCCACAGCTCCGGGTGCAGCGTGGCTGCGTGCTCAACGACAAACGAAAGCGCTTTTTGGATGGTCGGCAGCGAAGCATTGACGCGTTGCAGCGCGGAGACGAAGCGCAAGCGCACCTGGAACGGATCCATCCCTGCCATTTGCTTGCACTGCAAGAGAAAGAGAGAGGAAGTGGTTGAAGTTGCCTGGAAGATGAGAAGCGCAGCGTGTAAAGTCGAACGCGGATTTCGAGGTTGCAGGGGAGAGTCGGGTGGAGGGATTTTCGGATTTCGGGCACGTGGAAACTTCCGGCGGCATTTGCACGTCAACCTCACAAAGTTGATACGAACGCTCCACACGGCCTTGCTAAAAAGCAACAATGGGACCAGGCCTCAATCGGGAATGGCAAAAAAGTGGTCGTAGTATACAGTCGGCAACGGACGATCAGATGCCTGCAAGAAAATGGGATAATAAATACGATAAAGCCTGATTTTGGCCGGGGACGCCAAATCTTCTACTACGCCTTCTCGCTGTCCGAACGGATCTCGATACCAGGTGGTTTGCCGATGAGCTGGCCCACCTGAGCGTATATCAAGAACTGCCCAGACACCAGGAAACTGGTCATGAGCACACGAGTGCCGAGGCCTGCCCAGATTCCGACGGGTCCGGTCTCGACGGCCAGACGGATGAGCTTGGTCATGGCGCTGCCCTGACCTCCTCCGCCCTTGTTGATCTTGCTGAGGAGGGTGTCGGCAGGGTGGGAGAGCACTGCGGCGGCAACACCGGCGACCATACCGCATCCGAGCTGGATGGTGACCTCGCCAGCCTTGCCGTACTTGGCGCGGTCTTCTTTCGAGATGGCGGAGTCGGCGACGGTGTGTGCCCACTCGTTGGTGACGAATTGGCCGATGGCATAAGGGATTTGCTTGCAGAGGATGGGTGCGTATCCAGCGTAGAAGCCGCGAATGCCTTCCTCGGCACCCATGCGGGTGATTGCAGACACAAGGCCCTTAGCGTAGCCTCGTTCGGAGACCATGCGAATACGAGCAGCCTCGAGAGGCGTCAGAAGGGTCGTGGCGATGAGCTCCGCGGCGGCCGCACCACCGAGGTAGATGGCCTGTCGATAGCGCTGAGCAGCCTCGTGGCTGCCGGCAAGGTCGACGCCCTTCTTCTTGAAGAACTCGTAGCCGGCGAACTTGGCACCGCCCTGGATGAGGTAGCCGACTGCGGTGGGGCCAAAGCCGGTCAGAAGACCGGCAGGACCCTCGGAGGCGATGATCTGACGGCCCATCGAAAGCATGGAGGCCTTGGATCCCTTGGGCTCGAGTTGAATGCGGGTCTTGACCACGTCGACCGGGGTCATGGCGCCGTGGGTGATGGTGGCGCAGAGCGCGCCCGATGCAAAGAAACGTGCATAGTCACCAACGCTGAAGTTGGAGGTGAGCGCGCCAGGCTCCATCTTGTAGCCGGCGCTGGATGTGGAAGCGGCCGACATTTTGCTGCTATGCTAAGGTAGCTCGGATAAGGAATAAAACGTGGAAGACCACGCGGTCGACGTCGAGAAACAAGCTGTTGCAAGCTCAAGGGGCTACAGACAGCAGTATGATGATTGCCTGGGTATAGCGATGACCGGTCCGAGTCACGAGATAGGGCAGAGGGCAGGCGATGGTGGGTTGGTACGGATAGGGAAAGAGGGAGACTGTTCCTCAATCACGTAGGACAGGACACTTATAGGTCGATCCCTGACTCACGCAGATCGGCGGGCCACGGCCAAACCGCTGCGTCCTCGGTCTTTGCAAGTGCGGGATCGCGTTGCCGGCTGACCCGCCCATCAGCGAGGCGGGCAAAATTGCTTCGCACTGTATGCAGGGCCCAGTTGCATCGGCTTCGTCACCGTGCCGCGCGACATGTGCTCGAATCCGAGTTGGAAGCCTGCGAGGCTGAACGCTGACCGTCCGCTCTTCCGCGTGTCCGTGCGCGATACACCCGCGGAGCCCTAGCCGTGCAGAGGAATGACGTCCCTGCACATGCGGGACGCGGCCCTGACGCGCTCGCGACTGGTCCTGCGCCCTCCAGATCAAGACTCCACAGGAATGCTCCGAATCCGAAATTCGTGACCCGCTTCGGAAGAGTTTGGGCTGGAGCTAGAACTCAAACTAGCTAGCTGGACCCGTCAGCACCACTGGCCTCGGAAAACGCATTCCGTTCTTCCTGTGCAGCTTCAAATTTAGCTACGGTACCTTGATTGGCGGTGGCAGTGACAAGCAATCGCTGACAGGGCCTGCAAAACAGAGCATGACCCTTTCGCTTCTCCGGCTCGCTCGTGGGCTCCCGCCGGCCACACCACAGGTAGCGATCTGACAAGCTCGACTCATTCCCGGCAAAGCGACAGAGTAGGGGGAAGTCCTGCAGCAAGCAGACGATGACTCTCGTGGTGTGTGGTTCATCTACTGACTTACGACGAACCCGATGCGCATCGCTGTTCTGCGCCAGACAGACGCCACAGCATCCGCTATGAGTCGTCCGATTCGTTGCCGATTTTACCCGATGAGGTTGTGGAATCGGCGCACGCGGTCAAGGGTCCCGCCTCGCGAGAGGATGCGCATTTGGAATACTAGGCCGCGGCGCGCTCTTTCAACGTTGGTCCTTCACGCTCTCGATCCTTCCGCAGCTTGACCAAACTCATTCTCGAGCCCTCGGCGCGCCGCACTATCCAGGGCTTGTATCAGCTCACCAGTGCTTGCTTCTTTTATCGAACGACTCTCGCTCCTCGCCGCCTCTGGATCTAGCTTTGCAGCGGCCAGGCCTGCTACGCCTAAGCACGCTGCGCGTCCTCTCGATACGCGCAGGTTACGGACGCCAAGATGGAGTCGGCGGGGCCAAGCTCGCCACCTCCCGCACGTACACGCAAGCCCGGCGAAGTGCGGTCGCGGAGCGGATGCATCACCTGTAAGCAGCGCCGCAAAAAGTGCGATGAAGACTTTCGCATCCGTCACAACGGCGCCACTTCGTGTAATCGATGCGCGGATCGCGGCATCCACTGCGAAACCAGCTCGCATGCTACGCCTCAGCGCGCCCCGCAGCAACACCGCGCATCGCCTTATCCCTCTGCCTCTTCCAATCCGAACAGCGCGTCAAAGCCGCCGTCTCGCGCCGTCCGCGGTCCAAGTGCGGTTCCAGGCGGTCACTTGTCCGATGTGACTTCTGCATCCTCTTCCTCGGCGGCTCCGACCGGTCCGTCATCGGCGCATCCGACAGGTTCTAGCGTCGATACCAGACACTCCGCATTCGCTTCTCCACTGGACCAGAGCCAAGCCTGGGCCGCTTCGGCGCACTTCCCGGTGCAGCAGCCGCTCCCCCCGCAGCAGCAGCCGCAGAACGTCGCCACATTCGCCGGACTGCAGAATCCTGCCGTCATGAACCAGCTGGCGTGGATGAACCAGAACGCGGCGGCGCTCAATCGTTCGGCGATCCGCTACAATCGCCCCAACATTTGGCCCATGGCTGCCTCCAACGGCGGCATCGACGTTGCCGCAGCTGCCAATGCTGCCATCGTTGCCCAGAATGGAACGGGCAGTGCTCCTGCACAGAATGGCCCCGTCGACATGAACGCTCTGATGAATCTCTTCAACAACAGCAATCCTGCTGGCGCTGCGCCAGCACCCAGCCAACAGCAATGGCCGCAAGGTTACTCCAACAGCATGGACAACATCATGCTCGACGACTTTGTCAGCGAGCTCATGAGCTTGACAGGGCCTCTTGTGGGCGGCGATGGCACGTCGCTGCCGCAGACGTCGGACAACACGCCTATGGCAGCCAATCAATCATCTCCTGCTCCGCTGCGCACCGCTTCCCGTGCATCCAACGAGACCGCTCCTTCGTCCTCGTCTGCCAACAGCAGTGCGCAGAGGCAAAACCTTAACGCGTCCTCGGCTTCGTCCGTCCCCTCTTCGAGACAAGCCAGGCCGCTCGACAGCAAGTCGCCTTCGAACCCGCCTTCCAAGACGAGCAACGCTAAGGCATCCACGCCTGGTCGCGTGTCCAATCGCTACCGCAAGCTGCTAGACTCTGATGCCATCGAGTCGCTGCTGAGCAAGTACAGCCCCATCTACGAGCGCTTCTGGCACGCGACCCTCATGCTCCTCTCGAACAAGAAGAAGCAAGCTGCTGTGGACTACCTGATGAGCGTCATCCGCTCCAACAAGGCTTGCCGTGCTTCCGTCGTCGTCGTCTGCCTTGCCTACCACGAGCTGGTCCAACGCGTCCGGAAAGGTGCGCAAAGTGAGCACGCAAAGGCCTCCCTTCAGCAGGGTGTGCCACCGTCCAATTGGACCTCGGTGGCAACCGACGCGGTCCACAACGGGAGAGCCGTCGATACGCCCGAAGGCAGCATGTCGCACACCATCATGACCATGATTCCGGAGGACACGGACCAAGACGATCGGCGCTCTTCTCGCACGTCTCGCCCCAGTCGACACTACGCATTGTCGCGTGGAGACAGCGACGCCGAGGACAACGACGGGGACGAGGACGAAGAGGACGACGATGCTATGCATACAGAGGAAGAGATCAGCACCATCCAAGGTCGGTCAGGAAGCGATCGGCGGTTCACGCAAGGCACCACCCGGCACAGCTCAGAGGTGTACGGGTCGACCAGTTTCTCGCGGCGCAGCGACCCGGGACAACGTCCAACGCCCTCGGCCGGCCGGAACCTGACAGGCAAGCTTTCAACCGTAGAGGATAACATCCAGGAGATGGACGACCCGTCGCGTGACGCCTTCAAGGGCCAGAAAGTGGAGGAGTACACGGTGGAGCTGTGGTTCGACATTGCGCAGGCCGAATTGCAACGCAGCAGGGACGAGCTGACGCTCGACCAAGAGCTGTGTGCCATCATTAACCTGCGCTGGGCGTGCCTCTGCTTTGCGGGTGCCGAGCGAGCGCGCCAGCTCACCGAGGAGCTCGGCGTGGTCATGCAGCGCGAGGGCATCGACATGGACCATGCGGCCGCAGAAGAGAAAAAGGGCTCCTTTGTCTCGGTCATGCTGCTCACCGCTGTCTACACCGATGTGCTGGATACCGTCTCGGATCGGGGTAAGCGCACGCATGTCTCGCTGCGCACCGACGCGCGAGCAGCCCGGCCGTTCCAGCCTAGGCGCGCAAGCAGCTCGGCGATGGGCAAGAGTGCTTCGGCGGACAGGGACGAGCCGTTCTTTGGGCGAATCTCGCTGATTTCGCTCGAGCTGCTCACCTGCTTCAAGCTGATCTCGGATCTGGCCGCGGACGTATGGGGCCCAATCAGCAGTGCGGTCCTGCATCCGACGCGACCGTCAGAAGACGAGGTGGCGGAGCGCTCGCGCGAGATCGAGCGCAAGGTCATGTCGCTGCCTCCCTGGTCAGACCCCAACACGTCGTCGTCGCTGCGGGTGCGTGCATTTGCGCTGCAGGAAATTTGGCGCCAGACCGCGAGGCTCTACTTGCTCCAGGCCGTGCACCGCCGCGGGCCGCTGCATCCGGAGCTGCAGAACATTTTGCACGAGATCATCAGGCTCGCCAAGATGATGAAGATCCAGAGCTTCTCGCCCGCCGCGCCGACCTTTACGGGCGGAGCTGTAGCGGCGCAGCGATATCCCTCGCAGGCGACGCAGCGCTCGGCACCCGCCAATTACATTGGAGGACTCAATTCGGCTGATCCGACCAACGATGTGCGCGATGCCAATCATCCGGATCCGATCATCAATGCGACGTACGGCATGGACGATTTGGACGAGCCGTTGCAGCCTGATGACGACGAGGATGGGCCTGGGCCGGCGCCGTTCCAGATGTGGCTTGACGTCGCCAGCTGGGAGATGTGCACCGTGTGGTTCCTGTGCTCGACGGTAGCGCTGACGAGGCAGGACCGCCAGTTCTGCATTCATCATCTCGAAAGCCTCGGACTGGAGCGCGCCAACCGCGACAACATCCAGGTCATCCGCGACTACTGGGCCAAACAGGACGCCACAGGCCACACCATGGACTGGTTCGACTTTGTCAAGTCTTCCGGTCGATCCGTCATCTTCGCGTTCTAGTGCCGAAATGCAATGCACCGCATCCGCGCTCCGCAAAGAAGTGAAACTAACGAGCGATGGTTTCGAGTGCCAGACTCGGGATCCTTTCGACAATGCATCGATGGCAGCACTGAGCGACGAACGTTAACCTCGAGGAGATGCCAAGAGTTCTGACATTCCTCGGAACGCGAGAGCAGCCGCAGCTGGAAATGGGTAGAATAGAGGTTCGACCTGCCTTCGACGCTTCTCGGAATGCAAGATCGATGTGGCTCGAAATGAGACTGTGATTGGACTCCTGACACACAGATTCCTGTGCCCGCACTGTACATCGACCTTTCCGCTTCCCTGCATTTGTGAACACAGTCCGATCCTGAGTAGGAGCACCTCGATGGTTGCATGGGCGCGCCAAGTGAAGCGCGTCACCTCCTGTCGCTCCCTTACGATTTTCTGCCCATTTCGTGCTCCTGGAGCTTCCATCGTCACAAGCGAGCGACTGCTATACACACGCACTTTGCAGTCAAACGCTGCGAAAGTTTCGCCGTTGGAAAGTGTGTGATTGCTGAAAGAAAGATGGAGCAAATTGTGAAGTCTAAGTGTGAGCATGTGTTCTTTGTACTAAGCAGCGGCGGACCAGGGCGCATCGAGCTTCGCGAGTGCGACGAGCGTGTGCTCAGGATGCGGAACAGACGAAGCGAGCTCTGTGGGAAAGTGCTTGAGCAGCTGAGCCTGGATCTTCGCAAGGCCTGAACGCTTCTTCTCGATCTCCGAGAATAGCGGGGCGGACTCTTCGAAGCGTTCCTGTGTGAGCGAGGCGTACGCGAGCAGCTGAGAGATCTGATCCTCGCCCATGCCTTCCTTCCCGCTCCTTTCGAGCAGGCGCACTGCATGCGAGAGGTACACGAGGTGCAGCGAGAAGAGCGCGCGCTGGTCTCTGTCCCGCCTCGCGAGTGCGGCCTGAATTGCCTCGTGCACGAGCGTCAGCGCGTCAGCCCCACCCGCTGCGCCAGAATCCTTGATGGCCACGAGGACACGGACGACGTCATCCACGGCCTCGGTCTCGTCGGCGCCCGCGCTCTGAAGCACGGCCTCCAACTCTGCCTGCGCCGCTTCCGCCAGATCCGCATCGTCGCTACCCAGGCCCAACACGGCCAGTGCGAGGATCGACGGAACATGCGTGGACGAGTTGTCGTCGGCTCCGATGTTGCCGAACAGTTCCTGCTTGACCTCCTCGATCCCTGCACTTCCGTTGACAGCCCAGAGCAGTTTAGCCAGTTGCAGCGTGAGATCGCGCTCGAGCGCAACAGCGCCGGCCGCGCGGGCGTTGGAAAGCGCATCTCGGATCGATCCTAGCGCGTTGTCGTTATGTCCGCCAAAGTGCTGCGCCAGTGCGAGTCCAAGCTGGCTCTGCACCTTGGCGATCTCCAACACCTGCGGCTCGATCTTGCCGTCTTCCGCGTCGTCGATCGCCTCGTCGTCCGCAACATCAAGCAGTCCAATAGCCGCTTCGAATGCAGCAGCAGCACCGTCAAAGTCGCCGGCAGCAAGCCTGATGCGACCCAAGTTCGACTCGGCCACAGCGTATTGTCGCGCGACGACGGCCGACTCGGTCGCCTCGTACCTCTCTTCGAGCAGTGTAGCTGCCGCACTGATTCTATCGATAGCCAAGTCCAGCTGCCCCAGGCGCTCCGAGACCAGCGCCGAGAGGTGAAGCGCATCGACGTCGCTGGGCGAGTGCGCAATGTAGCTGGACAGCGCAAACGATGCATTCGACAGCGTTGCCTCGGTAATCCTGGCATCGGCCGCATTCGTAGCGGCATGTCGGCGGAAGGCATCGAACACTGACTCGCCCAGCCCGTAATCAGCCTCCTGCACGCTTCCCTCTGTCAGCGTGACTGCATGCTCGAGAAGCACGCGCGAGGCACGGTGATCGCCGTAGTGTTTGGCGACCAGCGCCTGCCCGACCCATGCAGGACCATAATCCGGATCAGCCGTCTGTGCCTTGATCAAGCTCTCGTTCGCCAGCTCCACGTCGCAATGATGCAGGTAGAGCAGGCCGAGGTTCGTCCAGCCGATGGCGCTCTTGGGCGCGTTCTCGATCGCCCGGATGAAACAGTGCTGAGCCAGATCTACGGACGAGTGGAAAGTGAGGTTTCCCAAAAGCAGCCAGTACGCTTCTTGGCCTGGCTCGTGGCGGAGTGCCTCCTTGATTGAGCCGATCGCCTGCAGTCGGGCCTGCACACTTTGCGCTTCGGCGACTTCTGCGACCGACAACGTCTCGGTCGCGACAAGGCCAGCTTGGGAAGACGGCAGGAGCATTGCACGAGAGAGACGGTACAGTGCAGTCGCAAGGTCGGCCCATGCACTGCCAGCGACGTTCTCGTCCGATGCATTAAGCACCACTCGCAGCTTGTACAGGTAGACGCTGATGTTGAGCAGCCTGAAAGGCGACAGGCCCTCGACAGCACCAGCGAGCTTCTCGTGCGTTACGATGCTGATCGAAGGAAGCTTGGCATCCGTCTCGAGCTCGGCAGCAAGCTTGAGCAGCGGCTTGAGCCCTCCAAGCCCAACTTCCTCCAGGAGTGCAGCCTGATGAAGCTTGCCAAAGTTGCTCAGGTGGAAGACGGCATCGGCAACGATCTTCCATGCCGACCTGAGGTGACGGTCATGTTGCAGCAATGCTTTTAGCGATGTTCGAATGGCGCTGTACGCCGAGATCTCGGCCCTTTCCACGTAGCCTGTAGCAAGCTCGTGTCGCGACGAGAGCAGCCAGGCGTTGCTCAAGGCTACCTTGACCCCAAGCTCGTCCGGATGAACCTGCAAAATGGAAGCAAAGGTGTCGATGGCGGTGGAAAAGTTGCCGAGCTCGAGGTGGACCTGTCCGATGCTGTATTGCGCCTGCCAGCCGTCGTCGGAGGGATCGCCAGCAGCACGAACAATGTCAAGGCACTTGGCAAAGCACTTGAGGGCGGCGACATGCCTTCCTGCCAGAGCATAGGCCTGACCGAGCCTCTGCCAGGAGATTTGATCATCGGGCTCGGCACGCAAGGCGATCTGGAAGGCCATGATGGCGTCCTCGAACTGCTTCTTGGCGATCTCGACGTTGCCGATTGCCTTCCAAGCCCACGCGTTGCGCGAGAGGTGTCGGCGTGAAGCCTGAACGGCCGCAGCCGTGCCAGATCCGATAGCATCAGCGCCACCTTCGCCCTCGATGGTGCGACGGGCCACGACCTCGACCAGATCCCACTCCTGCTCCTCGGCGAACCCTTCGGCGAGCCTTCTCGCAGCGACGTCCTCGCGAGCATCAAGCTCGAAAGCTTTCTGGAAGCACTTGCTGGAGCGGACGAGGTCGGGCGGCTGCAAAATGTCCCCGTAGTACAAGCCTAGAGAAGTGTAGGCTGGAGCAAAAGCTGGGTTGCGCTTGAGAGCAGTGATGAAGGCGGTGAAAGCGTGGTCCGGGTTGGCGCGGAACTCGCCATCCATGAGCCAGAGACATTGGCCGAGGCGCCACCAGAGCTTGGCGCGAAGCTCGGCGGTCGCGCCTTGGAAGGAAATGGGATCGAGGCGCTCGAGGATGGTGTCCATCTCGCTTTTGGCCCGTTCGAGATTGCCGAGATTGACGTCGCACCAGGCCATTTCGATCCAAGCCTCCTGGTCAGGATCGGGGCTGAGCGAGAGCAGTCGTTCGATGCGATTCCTGTAGTCATTGGCGTTCAGAGAGGCGGCGATGCTTCGCACCTTTTCGAAGACGCCGCGAGCCGACTCCCAGCGCGATGCGCTCTGGTCGATGTAAGCCCTGGCCAACAGCGTATCGATGTGTGATGGATCCTTCTCCAGAACGCCATCGATGAGACGGGAAGACCGGGCATGGTGTTGCGGAGGGTGAAGGTGCGTGAGGGCAGTCAAAAGCAGCTGAGAGATGCCGAGTTGAGAGTCTGCGAGGTCGACAGCACTGTCGTTTTCGATGCGACTGACGACACGAAGCGCGGAATTGGCGACCTCGGTGGCCGACTGGAAATCACGATCGAGCAGGTAGAACGTTGCGGCGATACGATGCGACAGGACCGAGTCGGGGCACTCCTCGAGACCGTCGATGGCCAGATTGAGCAGATCGTCTTGTGACTGGGGTTGTTGGATCTCGGAGTCCGTGCGCTTCTCCTCCTCCTTGATCTCGTTGAGAAACTGCTCGTCCTTGATCCAGAGCAGAAAAGAGCGAAAGGCTTTGGTGCGGCCGGAGCGTGGGAAGAGCGAGACAAACTTTCGAATCTGCTCGTGTCGCAGATCGACGAGCGAGCGGACGGGTCGCCACTCGAGATCGATTTCCCACGCCAGCTCGTCGGGCAGGCCGATGATGACCATTCCCGACGCGAGCTTGAGGATCTCATCTCGCAGCTGTACCTTTGCATCCTGGCGATCCTGCTCGTCCTGTCTCTGCCTCTCTTGCTGCTTGGCATCCACGGCAGCAGTGCCGGTTGGCGCCGCACCTGCGTTGAGTTGCTTGGGTGGGAACGAGGTGAGGAGACCGAGGCGGTGTCGCAGAAGCTTGGCTTCCACCTCGATGCGCAGCTCGTCGGCCGCCTTGGGATGGGAGAGGATCTGCTCGTAGAGACTCGGGAGGCGCGACGCAGAGTATACCTCGAGACGCACTTCGTTGGTGAGCGCCTCTTTGCCCTTGCTGGCACCTGCCAGTCGCATGCGGCGCTTGTCAGCCTCCTTCTGGATCGTATCCGCCTCCCACTTTTCCGACAGCTCGGACATCTCGAGCAGAACGTCAAGGCTGTTCACGTGGATGGCCATCTGCATCTCGAAGGTGGTGGTCTTCTCCGGCTGCGTCTGGTCTGGCTGCTCGAGCGAGGACAAGGTGTCATAGTACTTGGAATCGGGCAGCAGCAGGGAGAGCGTGTCGATGACTAGCTTGCGCCCGCCCTCTTCTCGCTCGAGCGCCAGCAGTCGTTGTAGGGTCTCTGCACATTTGATGGCATCGCCTGCATCGTTGTAGAGATCGAGGAGCTGGTGGAGCACAT